ACTGTAGACGATAAAACAGGATAAAGTAGGTATTTGAAAAAAAAGAAGTCACTTCTAGCACAGACGGATATCACGCCATTCTCCAATCTGATGTTGGCTTATGAACTGAGGTCGCTACGAAATGCCGCAGACGTATGGGATGCGCTGGTTGCAGGATATCGTCAATCTGACACAGTCTGCCCCGCGGAGAACGCAATGTTCTTAAGTCTTGACCAAATCCACAGCACCTGCTACTCACAATGATAGGTGGAAGATTAAGCATGGGACGTAGTTGAAGCGGTTTACTGCAAAATTAAAACTCATGTCAATTTGATAATCGGGCATTTAATCCCCATTATCTTCACTGACATGCCTTATTACGGCCTCAGGAAGGAATTAAGGCGCCAAGATGTTATATTCATTAGATAGTCTGAGACGGATTTGCTCAAGTGTGTGCTGAATACCAAAATTGCCCAAAAATATTCAAAAAGCCTTAGGACAAGTCGCAGTGTCAGGTTTATACAATTGTGAGATTACGAGAGAATACCAATGAAATCATTTAATATAATGAGTTTGCGTCTAAAATGTTTTAGTTTTCGCCAAGATACAGAACTACCAATTTAAAGTGGGAAGTAAGGTCATCAAGTGAATGGTGTTTACAAAATTTTTTGCGATCACGGTGGCAGAACATCCAAAGGTAGTAAATATCAGGTGCATTAGTGCGCATTTGGCAGAAAGATGAAGCACCCACCCTCCACCTAGGTTCTCCACCTAGGTTCATGTCACATCAAGATGGTTGAGCTTCATCCAATTAAAAACAGATAAAGTAATCTCTTCTTTTTAAAGATTTTAAGTTTTGTTGAGTCTTTGCGCCGTTATTTTGAAACCAAAACCTATCTATAAGGATGGAAAAGGACGCCGCTAATAGGTGTGTTTTGGCAATAAAACTCTCTTTAAATATCACCGGGAAAAACAACGAAATTGTTGCGTCTGTGTCAGAAAAGCAATTCTCTCGAGGTGGGCTAAAGTTACCTTAGGACGTGGATGTCATACTAACATCAACGTAAATCACAAAAAATTAATGATGCCCACGTACAATCGCCTTCCTCTTTTTGACAGGTCTTACAGTCCTTCTAGACGGTCTTCTTAACCTCCAAATTAAGGAGGTTTCCAAAGTTTCAGTAAGATGTCAAGCGTGTGCAAAAGGGGCGTCACGGTAACTCTGCCTATCTATTGTTGCCAGACCACCCCTATTAATCAAAAGACCTACCAAGAAGGCTTTGTATAGAATTTGGCATTACGTAACGTCTCCGGGGGGAATCTGAAGTACCATGAATACAATTATGAGGAGATGTGTCGGGGGGAGGAAGGAATGGAAGTACAGTAATTAAATCATTTAGGTATCTAAAGCATTTTTTTCTGCCTGGAAGGTCCATTTAGGCAAATGTTGATGCTGCTGAAAAGAAGAAGTTTATTCACGCTTTTCTAGTGCAAGCATCCTGGTTAAAGGTTTGTTTTCGCAACATCCAAAACCCTTTAAAATTGCATTAATTCATTTTAGAAAGGAATTTAAGTGAATGAAAAATGAAACTCTCATTCGGGTCACAGAAAATGGCCGGATATATTATCAGTTTGTACCGATTAATGGTAGGGCCATCTTTCATGTGCGAATGATAGCCTACACCGGAGACGATCCCCTTTTGCAAGTAACGAATTCCGCTGCCAAATTATACATTAAAAGGGTTAAAAAGAGGAGAGAAAGAAGGGAAAAGAGGATGGAATCCCCTATTTTCAAGCAAAAAAGTTGCGCAGACAAAGTAACTTGGATATCCTTGTAGTAAAATGTACCTACTTTAATTTAAGCAAAAAATGTTTTAAAAAAAGAGAAAAATAGACTGAAATTCATGTTGTCAACTGCGCAGTTTGCAACGTCACTTGGTCTTTAGACCATTGTTCAAGGCAATGCAGCTAATATTTTATTGTACTTTCTTTTCACGTGAATATGTATTATTTGAGTACTCCTTGAATTATTCTCCCAAAAACTTTTTTTAAAAATTCGATATAGAAGGCAATATCTCAATGTGTAAATAGAAGGAGGACTTCTAACAACTTCGTTCTTTATCTCCTCTAAAATCACACGTTTTAGTATATAAATGAACAAGAAAATTTTACGGTTCTTTCTTCTTCGGCTTCATTTTGTTACTATTTCAACTTTTATCAACCCCTCAAACTATCGCCCACTATTATCTAGGTAGTAAAATCGAGGTGGAGCTACTTTTTTGAATGTTGTAAGCTCATAAATACGACAGAATATAATAATTGTTTTGACTTGAAAAGTTATAAATTGGTCTAATATAATATTTAATTTTAACCTTACAAGGTATCTTCCTTAGAGCTGGCTCCAGGCTCCTAGAGCCCAGCATTAAAGGCCTTTTTCTTCTACTAACGGATGCAGTGCAAGGACATTAGAACCTGTAAATCGTTAGGAAAAGTTCCTTATAACCCCATGATTGAGCACCTCAATTGTCTAAGAAAACCAGATCAAGGGGACATCTGAGAGGTTGATCTACACTTGAAGGTAGTCAGTCATCTCATAATCCGACTGGGCAACACCTAAATGAATGGGAGAAGAGGTAGTGCAAAAGGTCTTACTGGATTCCCCATTCTTTCTGAAGTTAGCTCCACTGAGTAAGTCAGCTTAAATCGAGCGCGACAAACCAACGAGGTCCGTACTTTCAGCATCAGCACTTCCGAGATCTATTCTGTTGATTTCCGTGATCGCCTATTGTTTACGACTGATTGAAGTGATTGAAAAGGTGTCATTCAAGTAACTAGATCAAGTTCAAGTTGAGAAGCAAACACGACTTCATGTCTTCACCGGGAGCAACTTCACGAGCGACATTTATATCAAGATGTCTGAAGACATTAAATCATTTCTTTCAAACTGTTAAGTCTATTGTTCAAATGATTTTACCTGCATGTTCATATACTGGCGGCTGACCCAAATAAATGGATGACAAGATGACAAATAGATCAAATACATATCATCTGGGTAACTACTTGCTTTTGGAAATATTGTAAAAGATGTTACAATTCAAAAAAATGGATGTTTACACGCCCGTCGTGACGATGAGATGCCGTTTAAAGAGGGAGAAGATACAAATCAAGTGGCAGTGTGTTCACCAAAAAGTAGAAAAAATCCACTTAAATTTAGACTCTGACGTAAAGAATGAAAGGAAGTTATCAATTCAGTGGAAAAATGGAGAATTTTATACAAGGTTTATAAGATTTCATGATATAGCACAAAAATAAGAGGAGGAAAGAGTTTGACAGAGAAAACTATAATGATATCCGGGAAAGCCCATTAGTGGGTACGTAGCTAGATAGCTAGGCAAGCAGATAAAAGGATAGATAGATAGGCGGATAGCTAACCAGGAAAGTAAGTAGGGATGCTGATCTGTAGGCGAGTCGATCGGTAGGTGGGTAGCTAGAAGGGTGGGTAAATAGAAAGATAACTAAATAGGTGGAGCAGTGAGAGGTAGAGAAGCAGGCAGCAGGTTGATAGCTAGCATGTAGACAGGGCAGTAATTATTCAGCTTAATTTGACAACTGCCATTTCATGACTGCACTAAAAAAACAAATTTCTTTTGCAAATGGAGGGTCAAATATGTCTTACAATCAGGAAGGCGATAGAAGTGTTACAGACTCGTGGAAGATTCAGAGATTCTTCCAGAGTTAAAATATCACCGTTTGAAGAATTAGGACTCAATTCATTATACTAAACAGACACAACAGAATTTCATTATTTTACTAGAACACCACTCTCTTTGTTTAAATAAAATTATTCTTTGCTCCGAAGAAGAAGATTTCATGAAATTTTTAACATTTTTGCGCACTTATTCATAATTACAGACAAGCTCGACCACAGATTTGTAAGGTACGAAGGTAAGTTCCTGTGGTTCAAGGGTGCTCATAAAATATTTCTTTCTTTTACATGATGACTTATATGCCAAGACAGGCTTGGAAATACCGCGATTATGCAAAATCATGCCTCTAAATGAAAAACCGCCCTTCTAGCCACCTTCGCGCCTACTTCACCTTTGTATGATACACATTTTCTGGTATATGGCAGTCAGCTTTTATGGAATGCAGGACGTGAAAATCAATTCAGAAGGCATTCATACCTCTTGTCAGTTGTTAATTCGAGTGAGGGGTGGTCAGTTGTTTAGCCCACGCGTCAGGCAATGCTAGAAGGTGTTCGTGACACAATGATCTTAAGTTATTTTAATCGACAATAATGAGAGGTTATTTAAGCTTGGATAGTAAAACATACAAGCACGAATTTCTTCTATCCGGTGAGAGTTAGTCTGTGGAAGAAAGTGATTCTTAGGAGCCGGTGTCTGTGTGGGTGAGGTTGGACCTTGTCAACTTCCCTACTCGAGTAATTAGGATACAAAGGCGTTAATATGTGACGCATGCACGTGACTACTAGCTGACTAGCAGAAACAAAGAGTGGTTCTATTCTAGTATATTTGCGGTATTTTAAATGACCTTAATCTTTTGGGGATTATCAAGCCATTTAAAGAGTATCTGTATGCGATATTGCACAGGAGGGTTAGACAAGGCGGAAAAGTACCTAGGGGTTTTAAAATATTCAGTAGTTGGGTAGGAATGAGAAAAATTTTAAGTAATCGCACAAAACCCTCCCTAATGGTAGTACAGAGGAGTAAAAGTACCACACTGGCAGACACATGTCCGTGCTTTATTGCACATGCACGCCAACAGTTGTGTGTAAGTCAACAGTGCCAATAAGTCTAAAGAAGGCGTTGCAACTAGGACCTGCAGAAATTGGAAACAAATTTTTACTCACCTGATAAAATCAGCTATAACTACAGCGATGCTCCACCTTTAACCGTAAAAAGGAAAAAGCCAGGGGACTAGAAATTGCAAATTTCCATAAATAGAGTTACACCCAGCCGAGTATTTTTACATAAAATTAACGCATGTCAGGGTGCCATCAATGACTCATGCCAACTTTCAGACATGCCATTTTTCGATGGATAACTTCGACAAAGCACATTTTTCTTCTTTTGTTTTTTTTTTTTGTGCTTGCGAAACAAAATATGCACCAATCCACGATTGGTCGCTTCGCTATTTGAAAAGTAAAGTCAGATTGTAGGGAGGTTTTTGTGCACAACTACCCTGGGGTGCAAAAATTACTGAAATGTCAGTTTCTTCCTTAATTATTTCATGCCACGACTGCTCCAATGACTTTTTTATTAGCCCCGTCATTTGCACTTTTATCGCCCACTTAGTTGTACTTCATTATTTTGCCATTCCTTTTTGCCACCACTTTCGTGGAATTTCAACTAAAGAGGAGGAAAGCGTTATAGCTTTCAGGTTTTAAATGGTATTAGTTTTTTTTTTGATAAATTTTTTGGAGTTACTTTTTTGATTTACCTACTGGGCACTGCTTTTCGGATTCCCTTACAACAGCGGTGCTGGTGGATACTTCCATATCCTCTTCCCTTGCCTTGGCTTGTGCTTCTTCCCCTACAACGTGGCTCTATGCATGTTAATGGTCATTTAAGCCCTCTTATACACTAAACCATATTTTCTCAACGTATTATTAATCTAAAAGGGATCCTGGATACTGACTTGATGAAGGGAATGGATAAACTTTGTCCAAGTAAAGTAAGTTCCCAATCGTTTCAAACTATGAATTCGTATAAAAGGACAAGTCTTTAGCTTCTAGCTTGACCAAACACATTTTGAGGGAGCAGGATCACATCTCAGTGAATCACAGCAGATGATACAAATCTCTTATAGACGGACAGCATGATAGTCCCCTCTATGATGCTTTTGGGTCAATGTCACTACAAAAATTCTGCAGATGTATGGAATATGCACGTAGTGAAAACATCATCCAACCTCTAGCACTATCTGGCAAATGAACTGTTCCCTAATACATTCTGCTGCGCAGATGGCACGTCGCCCCCGAATCCTGACCATACCCACAGCATATACTTCTCACAATATGTAGTATTTAATCCCTGAGGAGAAATTCAGTAGCACCTTCTCCCCTATGTCGAGGTAGAATGCTTTACCTCTTAAGGACTCATTACAGTGAGTGACCACCTGGGACATGGAGGATGACAGGCAAACGAAGCAGATTGTGCATTTAAATAAGCAGACTCTTCAATCGCTGTTGTTGGTGTTTCTCACTTGAGACATGGCCCTTAATGGTTATGGCAAAAGCCTCTCAAATCACCTCATTAACCAACAATGAATGACGGTTTCTCTTGTGAAGGATTGTTTACAACCTAGAGAATGAAATGTTTAGTTAATGTCCATTCAAACAATTCTTGATGCCTGTTAATATGACGTATATAGCTTAAACAAAAAATGGCTTAATTTACAGTCGCATTCTCCACCACTGCTTCCATGAACTTATCAAAACAGCCTGTTGTCAGTGGTTTGAGGGAAGTATGCTTAATTAACTTGACAATAACACTAATGGAGAGAACGCAGGGCAAAACCGCAAGATCAAATTCTAAACCTACGGGATGTAATTTATTCTTCCATAGATCACACAGTTATTATTTGCTTTAGTCATAAAATGGCCTCCTCCCAGGCTGTTTAATTGAGCTAATCAAAGTGTTCAAGATTAGAATCGGAATTTTTATTTTGTTCAGGTGCATCAACGTATCTCCAAGTAATAAAGGAAAGCGATTTAAATCTCGTGTGAGGTATGTTTTGGCGTCAAGTTGGCTTAAGTGTCCTCCGCTTTAGCCCGAGAAATGCAAATGAAATGCATGCGCCAAGGAAATCTTCATCACGTATGTGTGTTTTATGCAAAATCACTGAAATAGTCCTCCATATATGAGGGAGTTGAAATCCTCCAATTTAAATCAGGAAAGGGCACTCAATTTCGCCTTGATTTTTTAATAACTTTGAAGTCGCATTACTTTATTATCATTTTGGTTTGGTTAGTTGTCAAGTTTTGACATTTACGCACACCTCTAACCCATTTCAATCTCTTCATTGTGGTGGAATAGACTTCCACTTACTGGAATTTTTCTCTTTATCTTATCTCTTCAATAAGAATTTGTATAGGATTTTAGGGCCTGTTGAAGAAAATCACTTAAAATTTCAACTCACCTTGTTGATAAAAAAGTCACCGAAACATCTATCACTTTTGTTTAGATCTGCATCCTTTGAAGATGATCATTTTCCATACTTTTTTGCGCATAATTTATTCCAACATGTGTGTTGGAAAAGGTCCATTGTTATGGCAATTAATGATAGGCGGCCTTGGCAACCAATGGATTTTTTATTTGGAAGTGACAGAGAAGACGGTGCGAGTTCGTGGGATAACTACCATTTCATTGCTCTGTACGGAACTTTTTTCATCTTTTCTGGTGTTACAATTTAGGATGTTTGCCCCTACCAAACAACCTGAATTCTCCATGCCGAAGCCTCCGTTTATTGTGCTCATTTTACAAGAAGAGAACGATTGGGAATCGTGTGGTCCAACTGCCATTAAAAAGAAATCAGGAAATTTAGCAACCCTCTAAAGAACTTTGAAACGTTTTGATTCAGGCGTGTGAAAAGCGGATTGAAAAATAGAGCCACATTGATGATAGTCAATTTTGAGTGGAGAATGGAGTCCAGAGCAGTTCATCTTCGTCTTTTTGTAGATTTGCTTAAACATTCCTTAGAAATTCGCTATAAGTCGGTCAGAAAGCCTAGAATTCTTTAAAATTTAAACTGTAAAACAAGGCAATGCCCTTGAAAGTACAGCTCTTCCCGCCCTTATTACAGTAGGCGAGTTGAAGATTAAATTTAGAGGTAAAGTCGAAATTTTGGACTGATAAATGTAAGTGTGTATTTAGCCACTACTTAAGTGGCATTGTTCTGCATTTTGGTGCCATCTAAACCCAGGTCACGACCTCGAAAGTTGTCGATTTGAATTAGTAATCGTACTTCTTAAACTTTTTAAGAAAGTTCTCTGTCCTGGTGGAAATTCCCTAAATGATGATTGGAAGAGTTCATTTTGAAGGTCGCAATATCTTTGCTCCAATCCAAAATTGAAAATGTTCAAATAAGACTTATTTGAAAAAAAGCATTTATTTTCGACTAGTCTAGACCAGAAATCCTCAAGTTATCATGCAATTCTTACAGAACGCGAATGCAAAACCCAAATTTGGCAAATGATTTGCACCGGATATCTTAAAAAATCAGTATTTAGAGTGAAAACTTGTAATATTACAAAAAACTTCCTTTTTTGTATAAAGTTTTGTCAATCCAAGTGGCTTATTTTCATAACATTGTTCCTCAGACAGCTTGATTTATTTTTGCACTTTTTCCTTGGATGGAAATGTCAAAGTAGTCTTGAATAATCCCCACAAGGGCATAGCTGATGACACTAAAACAACAACCAAAATGACAGGTGCTTCTGTAATAACTTGATTTTTTTTACCAATGTGTTAAACTATGCGAGCACTTTAGTCCCTGTGAGTTTTCCTCCCATTCTGAGGCATGACTTTTGGACCAGGATAGTGGGTTTCCCACCCTTCTGCACGTTAGTAAGTAGCATCTTCTGCTGCTACCAACATGGCTTACCACGATGTTAGGGAACACTAGGGGTGCTCTATTGGAGTACCGCGTGTACTCAAATGTGAAGAAAGCATTTACTCCCCTACGAAATGTCAATATAAAGTTGAATCTACTAATTTTATTGCTATTCACACCATTCGAGCAGAAATTAGTCCTAGTCTTTCCATTAGTTGAAGAGTAGACACGCAATCCCATCAAATGGTTTAATTATTCAGTACACTAGCTATTGCGCTAAGACTTTCTCCATCTAGTAGGGTATTTTCTCATTAAAATGACAATAAAAACTGCCAGTCAACGTTATATCACTCACCAAAAATTACCTTGATAGGAGGGCAGAAAAGGAGGGAAGAAAAATGACACATGTCCACAGGTGCAGCAGAGTCCCTGAAATTGTGATGCCATAATTCCACGATGTTTACATTTAAGGGGGCAAAAAAGGAGGCAGGAAGGAAGTGAACATGCAATGTCAATATGAATTTCTTGACCGGTGGGATTTGAAGGAACTCCTAGTTAAAATCTAGTTTATTAAATTCACTTCATGTGGCTGGAATAAAACTCCCAAATTCACTTTAAGACGGGAACAAAATTAAAAAATTTTCAACTGAAACAAATGGGCGGCAGCTGTGACCTTTGACAATAATGCCGTCATACCTATGACACCATACAAAGTGTACATTTTGAAGAACTGTACTCATTTTATAAGACTAGCAGGAGGTTGTGTCCAGTCAACAAAACCACAACTGTTACTTATCACATCTTGGATCGCTTGCTCCCTAGAGTAAACTGTGAAGACACAGGAAGAAGAGTCCGTGTGGAAGAATGGTTTCTACTACTGCCTAGAATGGCATGGTAAGTAGAGTCATTAAAAGACCTATAACACCAAGATGGGGACAGAACTACGAAGACCGACGTATTTGAGGGATAGCATGTACTTGGGATGCGGGAGTTATTGCATAATTTTGTTATGAATTTACAGAGGAATCTGTACTGGTCCGACTCTTTTCAGAAGGCACAGCAAGTTATAGGAGTAGGGCGGAAGATAGTATACCGACGTACAGAAAAGCTGTGGTTGCTGGCATGGTCTAGAGACCGTGTCTCTGAGCGCATGACTGAAACAAAAGGGTAATCAGACGCCAAGCTAAGCACATTATCAAATTATTTTAGGATGAAAGACCTGCTGACAGTCAGTCGGCTGAAGAGCGGAGAGTTCAGGTAGTAGTAGAATGCAACTAGATGGTTAGCACGTCGTTACGGTTAGATCGTGAAAACTGAAATTCGTTTGGTAGAGAATATGATGATGTCAATTTCATTTTTGTGAGCACAGTAAAATTGCACCATACGGAATCCACCAGGGAGAAAGTATGATGGGCTTCGGTGAATGATTGAAGGGAGTCATAAATAACTCTATGGTGATTATAGCGGTGCCTTCTGGGAATTAACTTCCTACACTCAGGCAAGGCGCCAGATAAAATTATTAAAGATAAAGTTTAATTAGTTACGCACTTCTCCGTGTTACAGATGCCAAAAATTGATGCCTGACGACACGATGCTACGTCTTGGGGGCCATTTTACTTTCTTTATACCATGCATAAATCACCTCTCCCAACCCATCACCTTATCAAATGAGGGCCTAACCTGACAGATGGAGTTCAAGCTTATCTGCCTTACGAGTCAAACTGCAGTCCTTTTCACAGCTGCAGAATGCGAAGATAAGGATTGGCCTGCAATGTGATAACAGAT